GTTTTGGGGGAAACAGGGTTCGTTCTTTTGGGGGAGGGGGTTTAAATTTTTTAACCCCCCCCCCCCCCCGCCCCCTTTTTTTTTTTCCTTCAGTGTGACGACGAGGAGGAGGAGAAGTTCCCCGGCGTGCGGAGGGCTGGCCGCGTCGCCGGCAAGGCCTGGAAGAAGGAGCACGGCATCCTCGGGAAGATCAAGGACCTGAACCCCCAACAGAAGGTCAGCAGAACCGCAGCAGCTAGCTGGCCCGTTTACAAGGCCCCGCCACCTCCAAACAAAACATTTCTCAACCCCCGGCTTACACTCTTTGCACGCACGCAAAAGATCCATTTCAATGCTAGCTCTAGATGGAGAGCCACAAGATGTGTTTCCGACTATCGCGCGCTTGCCATCACCGAATCAGTTTTCTTCTGTTGCTACCGTCTCGCCTCCCCCGGCGGGCATTTACTAGAAAGTGTGGTCCTTTTGTTTTATTACCCCGCCAATTCAACACTTCGCTGACGTTTATTGCTGGCGGTGGGGTCGACCTTGTTTGGCTAAATTAATCTCCCCCCCCCCCTCCCTACCTCCCCCACTCGGTGTTTGCCATCGGGATTGGGTTTTCGTCGCTTGGCAACGACGTTGTAAAACAAGCCAATTCACTTCGTGAACTCGGCAACCAGGTTACCGTCTTTTTTTTTTTACCTCTGGTTTTTTTTTTGGCGGTAACCATAATGGTGGTCGAGTAGATCATGTTGTGCGGGGTCGAGAAACCTCACTCCGCGCAACGGGGGATGATCGCACCACGTTGTGTTAAAATGGTCAAGCTTCCTCGAGGCAGTTACACAGTGCTTACAACTGTCTCTGGAAGTGAAAGCACCAGAAAATAAATTAAGTCATACGTAGCTGTCATCCGTACGCAAGGAAGTAAGCACAAGATGCCGAACACCCTTAGCAGGATGCAGCTCACCCTTCATGCGACTCGCCAAATACCTCACGGCGCTTCGCGCTTGGTGATGTGAGAGCCTGGTCCGGTGAGAACCCGGCGTGCTCCGTCCCGGCTTTGTAGGGATGCGAGGTCAATGGTCAAACGACTACGGCATGCACGACTATGAGTATGAGTACACCCCCCCCCTCCCTACCAATTTAAACCATGGAATCGCAGAAAGACATCCGGACTGCCAAGAGGGAGGCTAGGATGGCCTTCAGGAAGAACGCCCGCCAGGAGGCCCGCAAGTGAACCAACATGCAAGCATGACTGCAAAAACCAGATCGCCTCGAGGCGAAGACACGGCGCATCCTGTGGTGGGAAACAACGGTCATCAGCTGGGAAACAACGGTCAACAACGGTCATCAGCCGTGAATTGTCGGGTCAATGTGGTGTTCGGAAGGCCACCACTGTTTGTCCGCCACGGGCTCTTGCTTTCTTTATATTGCGTATTGAAGGAGTGAGCGTTTTGTGTTTGGTGTAGATACATATACATAAATGCACATATCCTTCGTCGAAGTACGAAGTGGGAAGGAAAGAGCAAAGAAAGAGTGCTCCGAGAGCGGTTGACATCTTGATCATGTGTTTCGATCTCTTGGTTGGCAATCGATGCATGCGATACTGTACTACAGTATTTTTCTTCGAGACTAGCTGGTTTGTTGGTGCTAAATGCTCGTGCGCTGGGTTGTCCTTGGGACCAAACCCCCGTAGTGATATAACACCAACCCAGTTGATAGCCCAGTTGATAGCTCTAGATATTCCTATGGATTCATGTGTGCATATCGTAGAGGGAGGAAGGGGCGGAAGGGTGGGTGAACACGAAGGATTATGCGTGCATGCATCGGCGTTGGGCGACGAGCCACAATAAATTTCTCTTTTGCGTTGAGGTAATCTCCTGGAGTTGTTTTGTGTAGAGACGGATTTCAGCGTTGTTGCTTCAGTTTCCGAAGCGTTTTGCCTCGTGGACCCCCACTATCGCCCTGGGGGTATCGTGTAAAACCTGCAAACGAAAAGAATACGCTTCCAATCAGTTATTTTTTACATTGCGCCAGCCGTCTCACGGAAACAACCCTTCGGGGCTTCGGTAACCGGTTCTGGTTCACCGGCGGGGCTACATGATATATGTATGCCTTTCGGCGTCGTGTGTCGTGTACATTGACGCACCAGTCACCCACGTGATGAATGTCTCTCCAGCAATGACGGTGTCGTGTCGCCTGGGAGAGAACCTACACAAAACAAATGCCCGATCGGAATTCCGGACAGAATTGGGAATGGAACCATTAACTTTTTGGTGGAAACCAGTATTTCTGAAACGATTTCACCAAAAATGACAGGACATAATATTCAGGGGAAATGAGAGAACTTCATTTACAAATTCGCCAGACTTTCCGCACGATAGATAAAGGTCCACCCGTTTCCAAGCTGCAAGATTCGTTCCTTCCATGCTGTCCGCTTTCGCGTCAAAAACGTTGTACACGAAACTACACGAAACAGAAACATAGCATGCTGCCACCGGACCCCACCTACTCCGCTCCTGTCCTACGCAGACCCTCCCATCTATGCGTGCAGCGCTTCCAAGAGTGATCGATCCGAACGACGACCGGTGGCTGCACGCGCGCGCTTGAAACAACCGAAAAATGCCCGTTATATTTGTCGCTGGGAGAAAGGGTTTGGTGGGTGTGCTTCTAAGCGGAGACGGAAAATTTCGTACGCATGGCTGGGGGCAGAAGGCGGCGAGAGAACTCAAACAAACGCTGCCGCCGCCCCCATCTTTTTCGGCGATGAGCAACATTTCTTGTAGCTTGCTTAAAACGTGGTATACACAATATTATGCTCTAAAAATTGGTGCGCAACCAAAGCTCCTCTCTATCCTCAAAGAAAAACCCCTCGAAATCTCCCTACCAAGCAGTCGTGCTGATTTCCACGGGAAACTGGAGGGGGGGGGGGGTGACAAAACGGGGGGCATAGAGGTAACGGGGTATGACACACACGCATCGTGTTGTACTTGTCTGCTACCCAGCCAGCTTCGGTGCTAAATTTAGCTCGTCACCAAATAACAGGTGCTTGCCACTTGGGGATACAGATACCCCCGCGTGCGCAGGCAGCGAGCGAAAGCGCAATCAAGCTTTTTCTTTTTGTCCACCCGGGACAAGATAACACAGACGACAAACAAATCAAGAACAAAAAGAACTCCGAACCTAAAAAGAATAAAAAAAATCGAGGAAAAACGGGGACGGTGAACTACTTGTTCCTAGAGCCAACCCGCGTAGCACTAATTGGTTTCGCCGGCACAAGTCAGCCGGCAATTAAACACAGAAAAAGAGAAGGGAACAACGCACCAGTACGGAGTGTCAGTTCCTTCTCGCACCAGAATCCCCGCGCCCAATATGAACAACACAAAAAAAAAAAAATCCGTGCTCTTTGTCGTGGTCGTCGTCATCATTTTTCCTCTTGTCATCCCTCCCTGCGTGGGCCGAAGATGATGTACTTCCTCCAGCCCTTCTTCTTAGGGACTTCTTCTCCCGTAACTGCGGCCTCTACCGCCGCCGCCGCGCTCTTTGCCTCGTCCTTGATCTCCTTCACGGCGTCCGAGGCCTTGCTCGAAACCTCGCTAGCAGCGTCTTTCACGCCTTCCGACACCTCTTCCACCTGTTTTTTCGCGTTTCCAACAGTAAGAGAAATGCCCCAAGATTTTGGAGGAGACACAAAGAAACACGCGGGATATGGCGGATGCGTCAGCTTGGAACGTACGTCCTTGACATCTGCGTCCACCTGGTTTTCGCTCCCGACAAAGAAACACGTTTGAGTATGGGTCAGCTTGAGACGCACACCCTTGATCTGCGTACACATCCGCCTGGATTTTAAAAAATGAACCACGCAATATTTCTTGAGGATGGGTAAGCTTGGGACATGCACCCTTGACATCTGCGGACACCCCTTCCACGTGCTTTTCGTTTTCAACGATGACACGCGCAAAAACAACTGGAGGTTGGGACATGCACATTCCGTTGGATTGGATGTGAACAGGCATATCCGACTAGATGTGTATCCGGAAACTGCTGTTGTGCGACGACATCAACAACAACCACAATCGCGCGGCCGCGGTTTCGACTACACAGCCGTTATTATTGTTGTTGTTGTTGTTGTTGTTGTTGTTGTTGTCGTTATTATTGTTGTTGTTGTTGTTGTTACTGTTACTGTTACTGTTGTTGTTGTTGTTGTTGTTGTCGTTGTTGTTGTTGTTGTTGTCTTCACATTTAAAAACCGTTCCGATCTCTCTCTCTACGATCTCTCTCTCTACCCAGTACCTTCATATGTCCGTACTGGTCCAATACTTGACGCGGTCGATTCCCGCGGTCACAGGCTAACTTACCCTAAAAAGGTACAATCAAATAAAGTGGCCCCATATATCACCGCCGTTAGTTGGCGCTCATCAAAGTCCCGAAACGCCTTTGCCATATGATGAGAACCAAAAATGATCAAGCCACGGCGCACTCCGACAGTCGCGTACGTGTGCATACTTCTCGACCAATCAGGTGGTGATTTGAGTAACAACACACATCAACCGAAAGCAACCACGCAATACGGAACAGGCACACGCAGCGTTGTTTCAACCATGGCCCTATCCGTCGGGATAAGCAAATCAATCCCTCTGAGGATTCCAAGACCATCATTCTCCCGTTCACGAACGAGCCTTCGCTACTACTACGACATCAGACCACGCCACCACCCCCGGTCCCCACCGCGGCGAACACCTGCCAGCAATCTCGCCGCACCTTGTCCTCGGCCTTGCCGGTGGCCTTCGCTACCGCGTCCGCGGCCCTGTTGAAAACCTTCTCCACCTTCTCCGGCACCACCTTGGAGGAAACCTTAAGCCCGCTCTTGTGGAGGTTCACCTGGGAGGGGGAGGGGGGGGGGGCGCCGTGGGGTGCGAACTCGATCGGTTCACAACTTGACGCCGTATACATGAGAGCTGGTGGGCGGGTGTATGCCTGGCTTGTTTGGTACTTCGTGTTACCCCTGCAGAAGGCGACGCGCCATCGTCCTGCCACGATCTTGCCACGATCTTGCCGTGACGTGCATGACATGCACCGGAAACGAGTCGTCAACTCCGTGGAGTGTTGGTCACTCTGTCCCGTACGTTCGGTCGCGTCAGACCGACGCCTGCTTGCAAATTCCTGCTCAACCAATCGCCAGACACTCGACACACCTTGACGGACACCATTCAAATTATTCCCTGCGCCAAACCACAACAGAAACCAAATGGTACGTCCTCCCCGAAACCGAATAAAGCTAAAACAATAGACGCAACCTTGCCTTTTGTTTTCTTGTTAAGTTTAGCCAAAACACGTCCCACCATCAAGAAGCGAAATTCAGAAAATCAGACCCGCGCCTGCTCTACTTTTCACTACGACGCGTTGAGTGTTTTCAAGTCATGCGACCCGCTCTCGGTCGTGGTCCAATCCAACTTGTGCTGTACCGAGCGTCCCATGCTCTGCCTGCTTAGCTGCTGCACACGGGACAAACACCATGGGGGCATGAAGAAAAACGAAAGAGCTGACAAACAGCCTTCAACAAACAGAAGTTCCACAAACCACTCCGACAGGCATGTTTCATTTTTGGGGGGAAGCCTTCATGCATGCATGTAGTGTCCGTCGTCCCGCTCACAAAAAACAAAAATTATTTAGGGCTTGGCATCCCTGCAACACACCTGCGCCTCCTCTTCGGCCTCCTTTTCTGCGGCGCCAAGGAAATCCTGCAGGTATAGTTGTCGTTGTCGTTGGTGATGGGCGGGGGTTGTTGCGTTGCGGCAGCGTGCAATCACATTCGGGTGCAGCGTGCAACACAAAAATAGACACAGAGGCAGGGCGCAGCAGCGGCAGCGGTGAATAGCAGCTGAACCAGCAAGCTGGGAAAAACAAGTCAGGTTCAACGCCGGGTATGTTGGGGCCGAAGAAACTAGGCATTTCTGGCGAAAGACAAGACGACCAAGCCGACACACCGGCTTCGGCGCCTTGGCCGTCCGTAAGGGGTTAAAAAGTCGAAAATCAAACCATTAGACTCGTCAGCATGACTGGTCCGATAGTTTCGCTTCCGCTCCCAAAAGAGGCACGACATCACCAAGATAGGGGCCATCTAACGACACTCAACAAGGACAAAAGCGGCGTGTTGTCCACGAAACGCTCCTCGCAGACCCACGACACACCAACCACAGCACACACCTGGTCCTTCATCTTGTGTATCGTCACGTTAGTACGAGGCGGCCGCCGCTCCCACCAGCACCGTACCGATGAGCAAGTTGTTCGACTTTGTCTTGGGGGGCACGCTGGCCCGCAGGCGCAGCACCCCCCCCCCCCGCAGGCGGGGCGGGCTTCTTGGGAGGGAGCGGGGTCACCGTCGTCTGCGACACCTGCGGCGGCGGCGGCGGGGGGGGGGGGGTCGGCGCGGCGGCAGCAGCGGCTGGCTTCTTCACTTTGCCGACGACCCCCTTGCCCTTTTTCGAAGATGTGGTCTTGTTTGCCACCTGTGGAAGGTGTGTGTGCGCGTGTTCGTCGTCTGTGCTTTGCGAGCGGCTGGCTAGCCCATCATCACCGTCTCCGTGCGACCGGGTGATATATCGTCCGCGGGTAGATATACATGAGACGCTGTGAAGCAACGCCTTATCTACATTCCGGTCTGAAGGGGCGCCTAGATACGCATGCACTTGGCGTGACATTCAGGGGCGTCGGGACAGCCATCACGCTTCCTCGTTTCTGTTTTCTTTCGAGCCAAGGTACGCATGTTGCCGAAAGGCCAGAACGAAAACGCAAGAGTGAAACAGTAAAATATTTTTCGTGAGGGCCATGTCCTTCTTCGCGTGGTTGACAACAAATCTCCACAAGGAGACTACCAATAAACGGCAGCGTCCATTTATGCGACGCATGTGCTCACGCATGTACGCGAACAGTGGGATGAGGTGGACGACAAGGTGGGGTTCACCATGGGTACAGAGCGCGCGGCAACAGACAGCACGAGCACCGCAGCAGCAGGAAGCGATACGAATCAACACAATCACAACACCAGCAGCGAGAGGGCAAGCAGGCTACTCGTGTGCATCCAAGCTGCTTGCTGCTGACTGTCCCGCGCCGAACGTCGACGTACCTGTCGGTGCACGGTCTGGCTTGGTGCGGAAATCCCTGCGAGCCGAGGAGACAAGACCGGGACACACAAGACACGGAGGTATTCGGGGACAAGGATGGGGTCGGAGAGGGGAGGGGGCGGTCGGTGTTAGGTTCGACCCTCGTGGAAGAGTACAGCAGAGCGCGCCAAGCAGCTGAGAAACATGCCTTAATGGAAAAAAATAAGGCTTACGCGTTCACGAGAAATGAGAGAATTGGGCTACGGTACACAACTCAGCCGCGGAGCCTACGCTACATTAAACTCCCCATGTAGTCATGTGGCACTGCTGTACGTAGGTGACCGAATTCAGTACCAAATTGAGCCTCGATCAGGTTCTTTCTTTCTCTCCGGGCCTTGAGTGCTATACATATACTGCTGTGGTGGGGGGCGACGATGGCTCAAGCTCGTCATGAGGTGTTTCCATTCCCAACACCAGAACGAGAACTTTTTGCCTGGCGGACATTATTTGCTACAAAAATGACGGTTGTGCTTTTTCACTCAAGTTTTGTGTACCAACAGACGGTACTAACTTCCACATCCGCTGTAAGCGAACCCAAACGCCAACCTCCCAAGAGTGACTACCGCGTGTGACTTAAGATAACACACCCCCTGGACCAGTTTTCAAAGCTCGATTACGCCGCGACGAACAGGATGTGTAAATGAAACAATACATTTTCGGAAAGCTAGACAGCTTCAACGCCACTGTTTTCGGCGCTGTGACTCTTTCTGTTGATGAGAAATCGAGATTTGAAAAAATCGGTCCGGGGGGTGTGTTATCTTGTGTCATTTACGGTACATTTTACACAGCACAACCCTTGACCCTTTCTCGCCGTGAGGAGGGTCCGAGGGGTAAAAGGTAAAGACAGCCAGTGATCATGGGAAACACGTGTTGGCCCCTTTTCGTGTGCGTATGTTCTGGGGTCCAAACATCCAATCGTCGAACGGTATACATTATTGTAGCTTTGGGACAAAAAGATTTTGGTATTGGGTTTGTGGTGTTGCTTGTTTATGTTTTGGGTACATTATTCTTATTTTTCACGTTTGGGGACGCAATACGAAGTACGGGTAGTATTTAGGAAGGTGACCCTACATGGTACAGTTTGTTTACACTCTTCGGAACAGCAGTGCGAAATCCAAATATCTACCGACGCCTTCGAATACTTGTATGTTCCAACCCCGAAAACGTGTGCTTTCTCCTCGACGTCCCCCCACACCGGGGGGACTGCGATGCTAGGGGCGGAGGCGCTGTCGACTCTGTGCCGAACGGCCAGACCTCGGACCGGCTCTTCCAGGCACCAACACTCGCGTCGAAGCCCGTACACAGCGGACAGCCGCCCCTAGCAGCGGCGAACCCAGTCCCCCCTGTCTGGGGGGACGAGTGTTCTTCATGAGCGCGGCCAAAACAGCCCGAAACGCGGGTGTCTTATGTACATACTTCATCGTATTTAACTTGACTTAAGTAGGAGGCGAAACAACGCCCCGCCACGTCCGATCGGACACATAACATGATGTCATGCCGATGTATGGATGATAACAACAAGTAGTCCCCGTGTCGTGGGGGGCGTGGGAGATAGACAAAACGAAGATAAGAATCTCACACGGGCTGTTGTTGTTGAATAGACGTCCCACGTTTTTGGTTGAGCACTATCACTATCATGTCTCTAGTGGCGCATCGTGTGTTCGTTCATGCCTGTGGGTGCGTTTGCGTATGTACGCGCACGATCGGCGGGCAGTTTTTCTTTTCACGAACAGATTCGTATATGTCAATTCTAGATCTAATATTGATCGCCGTACACGAACACGCCAAGAGCTCGGACGGAACAGGGTATAGAGGCTGGCTCTTGTGTTCCGGTGTCGTTGGTATTTGCTGAGGTAATGCCGTGCGAACGATCTACTAATATGGCTGCTACACACGATCTTTCGTCGTATCCATGTCATCACACGCGGCGCAAATCGCAAACGTACGCATTCATGATGTGGACGTTTGAAAGCCAGTCCTCTATTTGATTTCACATCGTGATTCTACGCCCAGTAACACTGGTGATAGTCGAGTTGTAGCCCGCTGCTCTACGGCAGCCCTTGTCACGGTGAAAGGGCGCTGGGAATCTACACTCATGTACGATATCACCTGCCTCGCCCGTACAAGGAAAAAAACGAACATACATGTCTTGACATATCACGCATGCCCGGTATGACGTGTGTTTCGCCCGCACAGATGGTGGCGGACACTTTCTTTCGGCAAGGAAGCAAGTACGCCCATGTGTCACAGCTCAGCTGAGGGTTTAGAAAGTGCAGCCAGCGCTACGCCTACCTCGGGATTACAGGGCTATACAGGACGGTGACGTACAACACGACAGGCCCCCCTGGCAAGCAGGCGTGGTAACAGCAGCTGCAGGTGCGGATTGTCTCGGAGGGCTCTGTGTTTCGAGAAGGACGTGTCGAAATTCTCTCATCACGAGAGAGCAAAAAAACATCCAACGCACCTGATCGACGGGCAGCAAACCCAGCCACACCCCTTCCAGCACGTGCCGCATTCATGGCTCAACAAGTTCTGCTGGTCAGCTTTGATCGAGGGAGGGAGAGAGAGAGAGTGGGAGAGAGAGAAGAAGTGCACGATGGTAGAGCGTGACTGCTGCGGGGCGGGGGGCACAACAAGTAGCAGGGGTAATGGGCACATACCCACGTCTTCAACACGGGGCCCCTTGTCCATGTTGTGATGCATCGCAACACAACTACAGCTTGAAAGGTCACCGCAACCAGCAGCTTCGCTCGCTCTCCATTGCTGTGTGGCTGCGATGCATCTCTACCTCTGGGCTTCCCTCGCGGGTTCCTGTCTTCTTCACCCGGGGCTGTCCCTCCTTGGCGGTGGAGATGGTGGGTGCAGTGGAGAGAACGGGGTGGGCATCGACAGCCGCAGGCGATCAACAACAACAGCAACAGCAACCGCCGCCGCCATGGCCTTCGCTGCCGCACCACAACCACCACGACTCCTGGCACGATGCCAAAGGAGCGGCAGGCTTTGCTCTCCCGGTACGACGGACGCGACCTTGACGGGACTGGTAGCGACGAGACAGCAGCAGTGCAGCCGCAGCGGCAGCCGCAGCAACAACATGCAACAGCGACGGCGACGGCAGCCCGCTTCCGCGGCGGCAGCGGCGGCGGCGGGCACTCCCCGCTCGCGCCTGCTACCGCTGCCGCCATCCCCATCCTGGCGGCTCTACGCCGCCCGCCGCGTGAACCCCGACGATGACGACGACTACTACGATGACCGCGGCCGCACCGACCCGCCCACCATGGCGTCCGGTCGACCGCCGGTCCGCGGCAACGCGCCAGCGAGCAGAGGGCGAGGGCGCCCCGGGTCGGGGGCGGGCCGCGGCGTTGGCGGTAGGAACAACGGGGGCGAGTCGTCTCCTACGGCATCAGCCGGTAGGGGGGCTGGGGGTAGAGGGCGGGGCATAGACCAGAGCGACCCTCTCGTGAGAGATTGGAATTCGGCCAAGGTGTTGGGGGGGGAGGGTAGTGGTGGGCGTGGGGGGGCCGGGCGGGGGGAGAGAAGATACGTGCAGGATTCGGCGGGTAGAGGTGGCAGGGGCAGGGGAAGGGGGAGAGGGAGAGGGAGGGGGAGAGGGTACAACAAGACGCCCGTGGGGATGTACGTCGGCAGTGACACAGTGCCGTGGTACATCAAGGAGGTTCAGGTGAGAGTCTTGTGGCGACATGAAGGGGGGGTGTTGTTAAGCGTTAAGAACCAGAGAGAGACAAACCATAAAGGCATTACAAAGCTGCGACGTGGGGCCGCACTGCACGTGCACCCCGGAGGGCTCCGTGGTGTTATTTTTGAAAACATGCACAACAGGGAGGAACTCTTTACGTGCATACTCACCCCGAGACAAACCCCTCAACCTTGGAGGGGGTGTGTTGAGATGGTTACGTAACTGCTCGAGAGTTTGGCAACGCCTCCCTATTATCTGGACGTTTTGTTCGAGCCTCTCCAAGGCGCCCCCAAAAGGTGCAGTGTTGCTTACCAGCACAAGACCACTTGCAGGGACATGCGTTTTGTTGACATATGTACAGGTTTTTCCCGTTTGCATATTGTGCACGGTAGGCCGTCGGTATGGATGCCTTTTCCGATTCGAAACTCCAATCCCATGCCAGTCACGGTAGAAAACACACAACGGGCGGCAGGAGTTCTGCAAGAATGGTTGCATAAAGCAGACGCAGTTTCTTCGTCACTACTGTAGGTGCTCGCCTCGCAGAAGCCCGTTTTTGATCAAATCTAAGAGTTTCTCCCACAATTGCTGAAAGCTGCTGTAGCTTGTGGGAGCTACATAGGGTGGAGGCTGCCCGCCGGTCGTGGTTCATTGGGAACTAACTTCCAGTTCGGATTTTTTAAGCTACCCCGTTGGAAACGCCGTTCGTTGGAGTTCCTGTTGAATTCCAACCAGGTTCGATCAGAATTTTCGATTTAGGGCTGGTATGTAGGGCATCATCTCCGAGGTTACAACTGCTCGGCACACATATCCAGGCTAGCTCCCAAATTTGGCCCCGAGAAGCTAGCTCACCGCACATGGCCTCGAAGGTTTAATTGCCCATGGGCTTCTGTTGGTCTGCGTTTCTAACTCGCGTCGCAGACCTCCTGCCACCCTTAATGGAATTCAGATTAGAGGACATATCGGGAATCAAATACGGCCAAGGGTTCCATCTATCAGTTTTTGTTCGGAAACGGCACAAACCTCCGCGCAACCCCCCCGCATGTTTTCTGTTTGATTCAACCACAGGACAAGGGGCTGGACACTCAGGGAGAGTTTTCTAGGTGGTGGCAGAGCAATCTAGACCCCGAGGCCAACGCGGCTTCCGTCAAGGGTATGAAGGTGTGTGTGCCTTCTGGCCCCCGGGGCGGCGGGGAAGGGGATGCTGTTGTCGAAGGGGGGCCCGTGGACATGAGGTAGTGGTGGTGGTGGTGCATCGCGGGCGTCTGTAGAGCCGCCGGTTGTTGGTTGTCATTGTTCGGTACGGTTGTGGCTTCGGTGTCGTTGGTGAGATTGCTGATATCGCACTTATTTTTGCGGGTGCCGCCTGCCTAGAGGCATTCTCGTCCGTTGGACGTCGACGCCTGCCTATTCTATCCCACACACCGAAGCAACGGTTGCTTGAGTGAGCCTATGATCAAGCTTACCAGGTGACGCCGCGCTCTTATCCCGGCTTTCGAGGGGTCCCGCGCAAAAGATGCCCCGTACGATGTATCCCATATTCCGTTTTGTTGTTTTGGTTTCATCTCCGAGACCTCCGGGTGATTGATGATGGCATTTTGTTTTTCTGTGCGAAGAAGAATTTTTGCTCCAATCTTCTCTACATGGCATGTGTTTGATTTAGCGAACCGGGAGCAGTCTTCGTCTGTACCGAGATCATACCGTGGGACGTTACCGGTTGGACTGCCGTTTCCAATGACCGATGTTTAATTATTTTCGAACGCCAAGTGTGTGTAGGAGTTCCAGTTGCACGAGCAAAATCAGGGTAGATTGATCAAATTTTTTATTCACTCTTCTCGCCCAAGGGAAGGAAGGTCCCTAGACGTGGATTGTATAATGCGGTTTTCCCTTTCTGTTTTCTGTAGTACTTCCTCCGCCCGTGTCCTGCCCTCCAATCTTGCCTCATTCAGCTGATTTGTTACTAGGTCCAACATGTGCAAACTACAATGCGATATTTCCGGGTGGTGTTTTCCGCTCCGGAAATGTCGCGGTACTCTGTGCGTAAGTGTGAAGCCCGCTTTCCTTTCTGCCTTGGCGACGTGGTTCGACTACTATTGCTGTAGTGTTTCCGAGTAGATGTTGGTTCGGATTGCTTTTCAAGCAACGGTTCGTTCCGGTTTGTGCATTCCGTTCTAGGTCCATTCCCCGTTGTGTGAACTGAAGCGTTCACCCCGCCCCACGTCGACCTCAACGGTGGTTCCAAAGTGACGTCGGGTTATGGTTGGCCCTTGGTACCATGAAACCGTGCACTGAACAAAAAAGGAAATGAATACATGTCTCAACAGGTCACTGAGCTGAAGGCCCAGCTCTCGCGGATGGATCTTCCGACGACGGGGCTCAAGGCAGACCTAGCGGAAAGACTTTCGGCGGCGTACCTAAGGTGAACAAGAGAACATCGACGCGATTCATGTGGGCAACTAAACTATGTACATTCCCCAGCCGGACTCGGCTCGCTGTGAGGGATTTAGAAGCAGCGCCTCAAGCCTCAGCTATTGTGGGCGGCGGGGGTTCTGGGTGTGTCCCGGCTGGCTCACTTCGATTCGATAGCTCGAAACACATTTGTTTTATGAAGTTTCGTTTTTTATGTGCCATCCGTGTGTAGCCTGTCAGCTCGGTGCACGGGCAGCCTCTTGCCACGTGACCTTTTTTTGGGACACTCGAGGTAACGCGTCAAACACACACACACTACAACTACAGGCTGATGTGCTATGATTTTAGCGCGGTCAATGCTTATTCACAGAAACACACAAAGCGTGCCCTACACACGCTTGCATGTGAGTTTAGGCGGCCGGCTCTGGACGCACGATCGATGAGGTTCTGCTTCCTTGCTTTGCCGTGTTTGTGTTCGTTGGTGTGATTCAGGTGTTCTCTGTCGGACGACAACTTCCAGCACGCCCAAGTCACGGACGTTTCGGCTAACGACGAAGATCTCCCCAACTGCTTCCCCGAGGTTAGGCCGCATTTTCTTTTTTCTTTCATTCCAACACTGCGTCTTGGTTGACCCCCCCCCAAAGCCTTCTGTCACCACCACGGGCAAACTTTAGTATATTTGTTATCCTGAGTCCGTTTTGTTCCGAACCCTCCTCGTTTGTGTTTTGCGTATGATGCAAGGAGCTTGTCGATTTTGCGAAGTGATGTATCGAGTGTTGTGCGTTTTATTTTTTTTCTTCTTGGCGATGCCCAATCCCTGACCTTTCTCGGCGAAGTAGCAAACGATGGTTGTTCTGCAAGGTAGATTGAAGGGGGCTCGGAGTCGGCTGAGTTGTCCGTTATTCCCCAGTATGAATCGGTGCTCGGCGCAGCCGATATTCTGAAAATTCCGGCACGCTTGCGAACGCAGCCCCAACTGCCAAGGTGGCATGGCACCTTGTACACACGCTTCTTAGCTACCATGTCATTTCGTTCAGGAGGATGTACCGGTGAATGGGGGGCGGACGTTGGTTTCTGTCTCGAGTCAGATGTGCCGATGGCATAGTCTTGAAACGGCAAGGATTAAATCTGAGCCCCGCTCCCACGCACACGCATGACTTTCTTTTTTTTTTGGCAGGTTTACGAGAAGGCAACAGAGGCCGAGCTCGAGAAGATGTGGAGACAGTCTCGCCAGAAGAAGGGAAAAAAATAGTTAGTCTGAGAAGTCTTCTATAGAGGAGTTATGGACAGCGGGGAAAGGGGGAAGGAAATATGCCTTCATGTGACCAGATACGAGAAGAACCAAACAAAGCGATTGTCGAGATGAGGTGGACGGAAAGCTCGAGATGCAGCACAGGCGTGTTCGGAGAACGAGCAATGGAAGCGTTGCGAAACCCCGAACGGGGTAGGAGGAAGAGCAGACAGGAAGTACGGGCGCCACCCTCCTGACACGCAATCGTCGGCATTTGGGGGGTAACGCCAAAGCACAACACGAGGTACCTGGCACTCACCCTTTGGGACCCTGCCCCATATGGTACACGAGAACAATTCCGTCGAGTCGAAAGCCGTGGAGGAAAGCTTGGATGCCCCGTTCTATACGTACTTTTCCATCCTTTTCTTTTGTTCTTCACTTCGTTCTCGTAGATTGTTCGACGCCAGCAGCTGTTCTAAACCTAGACTCGTTTCACGCCCGACCGCCAGTACGTTCGCGCGTGCAACGCAAGCGAGCCTCGCCTCTCTCTACTCTCCTCGGCAACAACAACAACAACAACACGGTGCGGCTATCATGCTGTAATTTCCGTCCGTACGTGACAAAACGCTCGATCCCTCCCCACCCGTGTACAAGCACGTGAGCACGAGATCTCGCTGAAAGCGTCAGCACACGCAGCCGGAAGTGCGGTAAAAGCACAACCCCCCCTGTACCTTCGTGCCTCCCTGTCTACGGACGGCTGTTCTACGCAGCTGCTGCTGCTGCTGCTGGTGACACGGCAGTGCATTCCAGGACCCCCTAAACCAGGTAAAATATCCCGGATGCACTTTACAACAACCCGATTCCCAACCTCACACCCAAGCCGGATTCCGAAACGTGACGGCAGCGGCACACAAAATAGGTCACACTCTTGCTCTATCGAGGACGCTCAAAAGCCGAGCAAAGCGCACCGACTTCTACCCTCTACCCCGCTTTCAAGCGCGAATGTCACGATGGGAAGAAGAGGAAAATTGGGATGGCCCCTCACGGTGTCCATGATGCCCCCGTGTGCTTGGCGATGAACGCGTACGTGTCCGCAGCCTCCGCCAGCACCTGCGCATGTATCGCGCAAATAAAAATAACGTGCATGAGTGCACCGCGCGCAGACGGGGGCGGGTAGGGACAGGCACAAACGAAAAAGGGGTAGGGACAGGCACAAACGAGAAAGGGGTAGGGACAGGCACAAACGAAAAAGGTGACGGTGAGACCAAAACAAGATTATCACAATGCCACTGCCTGAAGCATGCGTACATAAGGAGTCCGTCCCTGCTTCCGTTCTCAACCCTGAAACAATGAGCAATGAGCAAAAAAAAGGCCAGCTTGGGACTAGCAACGCCGACGATATTGTCGGCTTGCTTTTAACAATTCCGGAATGGCGCAGCAGACCCTGGGGTCGGGCATGGCACCAAGGGTGCGAGGGACAGACGCGGCAGAGGTGTGAGGTGCATGAGATTATGGACAACAAGAAGGGGCCAACATTCTCGAACAGAGAAACAGCCAACTGTTTGCAATAGCGAAAAATAAGACTCCGGTATTGGAAGATGATGTCGTCGGCCCGTGTACCTTTGCGGTCGGCTTGCCCCCGCCGTGGCCGCTGTCTCTGTCTATCCGGATCAGGAGGGGCTTCTTCTCCCCGGGCCTAGAGCCGATCGTGTGCTGCAGCTCCGCGATGTACTTGTAGCTGTGCAACGGGCACACCCTGTCGTCGTGGTCTCCTGCACCAGACAAAAACACGCGGTAGTTTTGCAGCGGGTTGCGAGACTCAGGTGCAGTGCATTGTGGTTGTGCAGCAAGGAGGTAGATACGAGGTGCCGAAAACGTGTTGGTCTCTCATCAGGGACATGCACTCTCCTGCCACGTTGGTCTCATGCCCCAAAGAACAAGCAACGCTAAATTGCCGACCCAGGTGCTGGGCTGTACTGAATAATGGTGGTTTGGTTGTGCAGCAGGCATGCGATGTCATCGTCGTGCCCGTATCTCGGAATGCCCTGGCCCTGACGCTGTCCCTGCGCGGCGTCGATTGTCGCAGGATCTTCGTCTGGGTAGTAAGCAGTCCGACGAAAGCCGTCCTAAACGGAATGTTTCTTCCCTTGGTGGGATCATGCATGAACTGCAAACATCTTCTGTCGGCGCGATTGTGATGCAGGGTTATCTCCGTTCCTTTTTGATGTTGAGACAACAACAACAACAACAACAACAACAACAGCCCCAAGGTAGACTCCATCCATATCTGAACCGTTTCGCGCAAGTGTGGCCTGGCTTCAGCAACGAAACCCCGAGCAGGCGTGTGCGTGGTCTGAACGAAGACAAAACGCCTCGTCGAAAAAAACTGGAACGAAAAACAAATCTCAACGCCCCGGTGTCGTAAGTCTATATATTTCTTGACAAGAAGGAACACGACCTGAGAATGAATATTCGCCATGGTATACCTACATTATTGGGTCCAAACAAGACCCATACATTGCAGTTTACTGCCTGTTGACCGTGAATCAGGTAGGATACTGATTTTGCGAATATTGCTACCGAGAAAACGAGAAAACACGAGAGTTTGTCATTTGCAGTGAACCGCCTCTTGAGAAGAAAAACACTGAAATTATCACGCAAAAATTGAAGTTGTCGTTAGCGCTGGCGTGAAGCACACGAGAGAACGTCAACGCTGCCTGCCGTGCTATTATAGTGCGTGTACTGACCTGTAGTTAACAGAACTGCCGGGTAGGGCGGTGATTTCGGGTCCACGTTGTGCACCTGCCATATGCCAACGTCCCAAATAGGCAGCGGGGAGTCGGGGATGGGGGGGGAAGGGCAGGGCGAAAGAGCAAGAAACTGTCAAACAAGGCAGGACTACAAAGCGCTATAATACTAGAACTATGCTGTTGTTGCTTTGTCAAGATAAAAAGGGTTCGAGAACGTTGCACGTGTTTCGTCAAGTACCCGAGGAGGTAGCTGTCTGACGCAAGCATTGCTCCCGTCAGCAGTTGTTCGTATGATACCGAACCAAGCGACTACGTCAGTACTGCTTGTCTTCCCCCAAAGTCACAAGTTCGACAAGAACAAATTACTTTTTTTTGTTGTTCAGAAAATAACGGTGAAAGAATTGGAATTGGACCCTCCTCAGGAGACATGCGTATCACTACAAACGGACATATACAACCAACACCAACACCAACAGTGGCATCTACTGTACACCTGTACATGCATCTCACCGGCGAGTATGCCCGAAGCGTCTTGAACTGTTCCTCGGTTGCCTTGGAGCTGCCGAAGTCGCTTCGCCACGCGTAGCCGATCGTGAACTCGTCGAAACGCAGCATGTCCATCACGCCCACCTAACGTCATCATTTTCAAAGAAACCCTTGTAATCTTTCTACAACAGTAGTAGTGCGAAACAAATCCAGAGCGACGCTTGGCTGCCTACCAGGCACAACGTCTGCATGGCACGACGCTAAAAATGGTGGATGCAGCGGCGGACTTGGCGGTTTTGGAAGAATCAACGGATCTTTCAACGGATGTGTCGATTTTCGTGAGGTATTTTATTGCGGTGCAGTAGTTGTAGCATGTGACCCACCGAAGAAAGCAAGCATTCTGTCCCGGTACCACCTGCCGGATGGGACCCGCACAAGAAGCCGTTACGACCACATCAGAAGGACCCATGGATCGAGCCGTTCGCCGTGCGATGAAGGCATCACATCGTAACATCGCACCTCCTCCACCATCACTACCACCAACTATAACGGCCGCGACAACATCAACGGAAAGTAGGCAACATCAAGAAATAGCAGCAGCAAACACCGACAACGACGGCGACGCAACTGGCATCCAGCGTGCCACGTTGAGCCAATCGCGTGATGGGTGGTGCGTCAATCGGTTCTTCAGCAGCCAAAGGGGGGTCAGACACAGGCAGGGACTCGCTCTGAAGGCATCCACTGCGCGAAAACACACAACACACAGGAGGTACATTCAAAAGCGACGAAACCTGCCCTCAAGAAAACAAGCAGCCTCTCGCATGCAAAAAAAAAAAAAATCGTCCAGTGACGTGGAGATCTTGTTTGTGCCTGGCGCCTGGCATGGTATGGTTGTATAAAAAAAGTCAATTCAATCCATCGTGGTCACATACACACAGCCAGCTCATACCAAATTACCACAACAAGATCATACGGGGAGATAAAAAAAAAACTCACCTGGGCGACTGCTGCGCCGAACAACTCCGGGTGTTGGTTCACGCACGCCCCCACCAGCTTGAGAGGACGAAAAACATACAGCAACAGCAGGACGGCGACGGTTTGAGACGCCACGCGAACGCAAGGCAAAAAAACGAACAAATAGAGGGGGCGAACAACAGGGCGAGCGTCAAGATCGGGCAAGTGTAAAACAGGATCAAAACCAGCTTCCCCGAATCGGGCATCTGAAACGCTCCCCCCTCTCTCTCCAACACTCGATGCAAACATGCACCAGCCCTTGGTTCGAACCCCCACCCATACACACACAATTGACGCCTTTCACCCCCCCCGGATGATGAAAACTTGTCGACTACCCCCCCCCCAACAAAAAAAAAACAGTACAGTACCCACCAGTCCTCCGTTGGAGCCCCCCATGATGGCCAGCTGGTCCTTGGTGGTGTACCCTTTGGCTGGAAGGTACTTGGCGGCGTACATGAAATCGTCGAACACGTTCTGCTTTTGGTTGAGTGTTCCGCCAGAGTGCCACTCCTCGCCGTACTCGCCCCCACCCCTGACAGACAGACAGACAGGTACATAGGTAGGTAGGTAGAGGTAGAGAGGGACGGACAGACGGAGAAAGAGAGAGACAGGGAGGGAGAGAGAGATCGAGAGACAGAGAGACAGAGAGACAGAGAGACAGACACACAGAGAGACAAGCAGAGAGACATACAGGGAGACAAGGAAAGAGACAGACAGAACGAGGTGTGACCATCGTAACGACCATGTAAATACGACAAAAATTTTGTGGACCAGGGAGGCCTCCGCAAAAGGTTACCAGTAACCACCGAAAAGAGAGATGGCTTGACGGACATACTTGTTCACGAAACGACCGACCGACTTCAAAAAGACGGCGCGTACCCATCACACATACCCCAGCCACGCACCGGATGTTCGCCAAGCAAAACCTTGCCCCGTAGTGCTTGATGAAGAGCAGCCTCGCCGCAGAGAAGCTGGGGTTGAGCGAGATGTTGAAGCCGCCGTACCCGTAGAGCAGGCACGGCGAAGCACCCTCGGCCCCCCTGCGCCCCACGACGAACATGGGCACCACGGTGCCGTCCTTGCTCTTGTATCGAACCTGCTTTTTCGATTATTACGCCGCAAGAGTTGTCCCGAAGTGATGAATAGTACTACTCCGATATCAAGATGACGACCACGGGCACCACGGTGTTGTCCTTGCTCTTAGATCCCGATTTATGGGAACAAAATCTTGTTTTGGGCAAATCTTGTCTTTTCGGCCTTTTGGGCAGTCTGCTTCCCGAACGAATGCGAATCAGCTGTTCCACCTTCGAGAAGAGTCATAGCTTTGGCTGAGATGTCTACAGAATGTCTATTTGTTTCGCAAGGGTCCCCGTTTGATTTTTTCAAAATGTGCAATTTTCACGCAAGATCCTTCCAAAACCAGCATTTTTTCAAATCTTGGCAAATCTTGACCCAAGATTTGCTCGGAGTTGGCTATTCGGCCCAATCTTGGACGAATTTGCAAATCTTGCTCTGCGGGAAAAAAATCAAACGTGGCAGATAGGTGACCTGTAGACATCTCAACCAAAGCTAGCTGTGACTTTTCTCGAGGGTCGAACAGGTGATTTGCATTCGTTCGCGACGCAGGCCGCCCAAAAGGTCGAAAAAGGCAAGATTTGCCCAAAGGAAGATTTGCTCCCCATAAAGATGGGTCTTACATCGAACCTGATTTGTTCGATTATTTCGTCGCAATAGTTGTGACGAACAATAAAATTACCCTGGCAAACACGGGCACCACGGCGACGCCCTTGAATGACGAGCTTGGGCATCACGTGCCGCCCTTGCTTTTGAATCACCCATGCATCTTGCGCCGCAATACTTGTCCCGAAGTGACGAACAATCTCCAATATATAAAAAAAACGATATCACATCGAAAGTCGTGATGAAGAACGCGGTAATACTTGAGAACAAAACAAAACAAGGCCTAGAATCAGGGTAAAGTGTTGCAAGATCATGTGATTCCCAACGACAGTAACAATAACTTCTACTACATACCTCCATATACTAACGGAAAAGACGAAGACGCCAACATCAACCATACACCCAAGAAAACCTAATCTCACAACAGCTACTGATAACGACAGCGACGACGAACAAACCACCAACAACGACACGCCAGCGACGAACCTGCTTCGTTTCGAAGTCGGTGGACGTGATACCCGGCACCTTGGTCTCGCGGTACACCTTCAGAGACACGTCCGCGGTGCCGCCGCCCCCCTCCCCCTTGCTGACAGTCCCGTGGTAGATCGTGCCCGGTGTGACAAAGTTCGTGAACTTGAACATTATGTGGTCCTGCACGAGGGTCAAGCGAGCGCGGATGAAGGGGGCGGGGTCGTTTACAAAAACTCAGTGCTCCCGTGCGCTTGTTTCGAAAACAACGTTTTTGCACATGGCAGCTGCGCGCATTTTTCAAAGTTTTTTTTGTTTTGTTTTGTTTTGGTACTGCTGTATTGTCGCTTCTCGCTGGAGGCTAGTGCCTCACCAAAGCCTCGACAACGTCCTGTGCGCTACGATGCACCTTCTGTTAGGCCAGTCTACCATTCAACCTCAACTATCATCCCTCGCTAGGTGGAGGAAGAGCGTTCGTTGCAAATACCACTACACCGCCGACGCTTCACCTCTGCTCTTCTGTATTGCTGCCACTTTCGTGGTCGACGATAAACTCCCGCCTGACATTTCCTCACACAGACAGTTTTCTTCCGCAAAATAACAACTTGAACAAAGAACATAAACAGCAGTAAACACACCTAACATTTCTCCCCAATACGATGTGATGCCTTGTGCCAAATCAGCCAACAACAAATGACGTTTCCCTGCATTAACACGCACACGTACTTGTCCGGTGCGCTTTGGTGGTGGTGTCCAAAAGAGGGCGAGTGGGACAGAACGCCGATTGCAAGCAGAAGGCCGCCTTCAACACACATGTGATGTGCATTATTATCAAAGGGATGCAAGCACAAAAAACGGGACCCGACACAAAAAAGAAGCACCTACAGCAGAATTGCTGTCCGTGGAAACACCTCCGATGATCCGTACACCGGAGAAAGGGACCCATCGCGACAAAAAAAAAGGGCCACGAGAAACAAACAAAAATCACATATGCTCTACATCCCAGGGAAGCAAAAAATAAATAAAAATAACAAAAAGCTACTCACGTATTTTCTGTCTGAGAAAACGCCTCCGATGGTCTGTAAACCGCAGAAAGGGATCCATCGCAACAAAGAAAAGGAACACAAGAAACAAACAAAGCTCACATACTTTACCCATTACAGGGAAGAAAAAAAACAAGACAAAAAACAACAAAAACACTACTCACGTATTTTTTGTCCGAGGAAACGCCTCCGATGGTCCCGATGCCGGGGACGGGCACCGCCTTCTTCTCCAGGGTGGTGAGCCCGAAGAGCTCGAGTTGGATGAAAGCATCCCTCTCGAAGGTGAGCACGACCAAGTCTCCCGCCACGACCGCGGCGTCCTTGAGAACCCCGCTCGCGTCCTCCGGCACCACGGTGGTCTTAACGACAACAATAAGGAAGGAGAAGAAAGGGCGTCGAAAAGAGGGTACAGCAGGGGAGGCAGGCAACGATGTGAAGACGAACGCTACTACGGAGAAGAGAAGGAGTCGATTAGACAGATAGGTGTAGGTGGGAAGTCGGAAAGGATGTGACGACACACGCTACTACGGAGAAGTGAAGGAGTCGATTAGACAGATACTCAGGTATATTAGTAGATCGGAAGGCCGGAAACGGCGTGACGATGGACGGATACACGGAATGGGAACAAAGCGGACGTAGTCCTGGAAACAGACCTCCCATGAGAGGTAACCGGTGGTGTACATTATCGGGGCGAAAACCGTCCCCGCGACGATACCAAGCACGTAGAGGAGACCCTCCCCGCCCGCTTAACAGGCTAGGGGAAACATTGTTGAGCCACCTTTGGCAGAGTAGGAAGGGACGATTGGCCATCGGTGATAGGTCCTGTGGGAACAATGCTCCGTCCTCTGGAGGACACGAGGGCAACGGTCTAACCGCTGAGGTATGCAAAACACGAGTACGACCCCCCCCCCCTCCAGTTACATTGAGACGGTGACAGCCTCTGACCTTGGGGATCTGTGCGAGAGCAGCCTCGTCCTCCTCCATCGGGCTCCCGGCAGGCGGCAGCTGCATCGATATCACCTGTGGTGTGCACATGAACATGAAACAGTCGATCGAGGCGATCGCATGACATCTAGACAAACGGACGGGCGATAGGACGGACCAACAACGAGAACAACGAAAAAAAAAAAAAAAAACACACACACACAGACACACAGACACACACGAGAGGCCGTGACACGGATGGACGAACAGCAACGAAAAAGGAAGAGGCAGAAAAAAAAAATGCCACGGACGAACAAAACGGCGGACCAACAACAAAAGAACAACAGAAGACCCAGGTACAAAATATACCGCACGGGCGAACAAAACTTTCAGACCAAAAAATAAACTACGGACCGGAACAAACGGGCCAGAAAAAAGGCTCGATTGGCACTCTTGCCGTACCCCTAAGCGTCAACCCCGGGGTGCATCTCCCCCCCCCCCCCCCCCCCCCCCCCCTTTATGGGTGGGGGGCCACGGGGGGACCACCAAAAAAAACCAAAAATGGGTACCCCCCCCCCCCCCTTGTTGGGGCCCCCCAACCCCAGGGGGGGTACCCCAACCGCCTCCGGGCCCCCCTTTGTAAAAGGAGCCCGGGGCGGCCAAAACCCCCCCCCCCCCGGCAAGGAGGGGGGCGAGGGCA